AGGGAAAGAGAGAGGCATCAATTTGTTCCACTTATTCATTGGTTGGTTCATGTAGTTCCCTGACCAGGCATTGAATCCACAGCCTAGGCGTATCAGGGTAACACTCTAACCAACTGAGCGAGCTGGCTGAGGCCCAGATGGCTGAGTTTCACGTTGATTTTACATATTGGTGTCTGAGGCTATTTTTTCTAACTGATAATCCATAGATGATTTGTCTACATCCTTGAAAGAACATACTCTATTATAGAAAATAATGATTTCTTATCTCTTTACCTGCCCATTGCACAGTATTTGCAGAAGGCTGTGGTGACTCAATAGCATATGAAGTACTGACAGATAACCTGTATTTTGCAGGAAGGAGATCATAATTTCGGATTCCCTGGTGGAGGAAAACAAAACACTCTGGTCTTGCTTCCAATGACGCAAGCGTGATTGTTGGCGTCTTCATGGGCTCCAGAGGTCACAGCACACTGCCGCGGACTCTCATGGCCCCTCGGATGATTTCTGAGGGAGACATAGGAGGCATTGCTCAAATCACCTCCTCTCTCTTCCTGGGCAGAGGCAGTGTGGCCTCCAACCGGCATCTCCTCCAGGCTCGTGGCATCACTTGCATTGTTAATGCTACCATTGAGATCCCCAATTTCAACTGGCCCCAATTTGAATATGTTAAAGTGCCTCTGGCTGACATGCCTCATGCCCCCATTGGACTGTACTTTGACACCGTGGCTGACAAGATCCACAGTGTGAGCAGGAAGCATGGGGCCACCCTGGTGCACTGTGCGGCAGGGGTGAGCCGCTCGGCCACCCTCTGCATTGCTTACCTGATGAAATTCCACAGTGTGTGCCTGCTGGAGGCGTACAACTGGGTGAAAGCCCGGAGGCCTGTCATCAGGCCCAACGTAGGCTTTTGGAGGCAGCTGATAGACTACGAGCGCCAGCTCTTCGGGAAGTCCACGGTTAAAATGGTACAGACACCTTACGGCATAGTTCCAGACGTTTATGAGAAAGAGTCCCGACACCTGATGCCTTACTGGGGGATTTAGTGCCACCAAAGTCTGCATCAGCAGCCCCTTGGGCAGGACCAGCATCTGCTACACACCGTTTGCTCCCCTCTTCACCTTTCTTTTCAAATGGTTGACTTTCGGTTCTCCCTGAAGTGTTTTTTACACTGGGTGTTTGTTTATTTTAATGGGTATGGAGGAGGGGGAAACATAAGGGGAATGCGTTCACTGCTAGTAACATTTTTAAAACTAACATTTTGGAATAGTGTTTATGAAAATCTTTAACTGGCTTTTACTTTTTAATAATTTGAACAGTTTAATGAACTGTTTGGTTATGCTCCATTTTGAATCCCATGCCTTCTGGCATCACGACAGGTGCAGGAGGAGCTCAGTGCAAAAATCACCTTGGGTCCTGGTTAACCCTCTAGAGACAAGCTCTGCCTAAGGCTGCTGACCACCCAAGTGCTTAGAGAAGATGGATACCAGCTTCCGTCTCTATTGGATTAGCCCTACTCTTTCCTTCCCCCTTTATTATTTAGTAACTTTGTAAGTCAAAAAACAAAATTATTTAGCTGTTAAGTAATTATAATGAAATCTGCTGCAAACACCCTCTTGGAATCAATGTGCTCCAGGACTATATCAACATTATTTTTAATAAACCTATCTGCTTAACATATTCGAATTTTTACTGAGAAGGATTTCCGGGTGTGTGTGTGTGTGTATGTGTGTGTGTTGATGGAAGAAAGATGCTCTTCCATAATTATGTTAAAACATGGCTCCTGTGACAATGATGAACAAATCACATAAAATAGACGTCCCTGCTGAAGCATGTCAACATTTCACGTCCTTGCAGATGGGCAGGTATTGTTTACAGTGCTGGGACAGTGGAAAAGAGCAGAGAGAGTACACTCTGATAAAAGGCAGTTTTCAGTTCTCTTGGTAACTGGAGTGCACCAAAACGGAATCCTCCGGCAAAGAAACTGGTTTTCCACAAAGGTGTGCCTTTGCTTACTATTAACACACACAAATGCCCCAAACCAAACGTTAATGCAGGAGATAAGCAAATAACAATAGCTTCCCCTGTTGAAACCTGGACAGAGTTTCAACTGCTCCTAGTAAGTCTGACAATACAACTCATCAGGGACTTGGTGGTTTAATTAGTTCTCCTTTATTCCATTTCCTGAGCAGTCACTGGGCGTTGCCAGGCTGCCCCGTTCGTAGACAGGGCAGCCGCTGGGCACAGCGCCGCTTCTTTTTTTCTAGCTTCATTTGGCAGGTAGGTTGTAGCTAGCTTATCTGTGGAATAATTTTCTAGATTTTTGGTCTGTTTCAGCAAGAATCCATGAATGTAATGCCAGGGGCTGCATATTTATATAAATTTTATTTATCAGATTTTACCTGGTCTCTAGTAGGTGGTTTCCATCCAAATTCTACCTTTTCTTGTTTCATACCATTTGCCCACTTTTATAAACATGCATCATTACTGTCTAAATAGAAAAATTCCAATAGAGTTAATAGTTTCTGTGGAAATCAGAGGAACCAGAGATGCTATATCCGCACATGAATAAAAGTCATTCAAAGAAACAATAAAACAGTCCCAGGGCTATGGAGTCTGTGGCTGCTTTAGTATGAAGACAAACTGTAAGTGTCATAGTCTCTGGATAAAAGTCCAAAAAAATCACTGTCCTATAGTAAGAAAACACCTGGTGACAGATGTTCCTAGTAATTAAGGGCATTTCCTGCAGAAGTCCTGGCAAACACCACTACTGTACTGGGATGTAATAACTAAGCAATTCTTAGCCCCGGGGAAGCCTAACACCTTTCTGATCTAAATGTCAAAGAGTTTATTAGCTGGTCACAAAGGTAGGTGTGTGGCCTAGAAGGTGGTAGAGAAATTTCTGTGGTGATCCCAGGCAGGACAAGCATTTGACATTTCTGTAACATAAAGGCCCTATAATCTTTTCAAAGCTTAAGAACACACTTGTCATTAAATAAAAAGCAAGTAGAAGACATCTTCAAACAAAGAATACGCAACCTCAAAATGCTCAATTTAAAATATGCAACCTCTATAGAGTGCCACAGGAAAAATAAAACGTGGATAATATCCTAATATACCCTGTGCCACTTCTACTTCAAGCATGTCCAGACAAAAATTACACACCATGCCATGAAAATTTTAAAGGCAAAACAATTTTTAAAGAAGGGCTTATTAATTGCCACTCAAGCAGTGGGGTGAAGCTGCCAGCACAATACACAGTGTGGAAATAAGTAACCTTGGTTACTGTTTCCAAGGACACTGGACTCGGCTAACAAGAGCTGAGGTGAAGCTGAATGCAGTGTTGAGTCATTTTAATAAACTTGCATAAATAAAATCGGTGCAATGGTATTCCACACTCCCCAAATCCTTATTGGTGGTATCTAACACGACATTTCTGTAAACAGATACTGAAAGTAATGAGTACTTTCCGTAGCGAAGGCCTTTGTTGATGTTTGCTGTATTTTCCTTTTCCTCCTCCTGTGGAGGGACTAAACCTACCGTACTTGGGAAGGTCAGCAGTAATTAGAAATTTTATCAGTAATTAGAAATTTTATCTAAGAAATTGGGAATATATCTAGGAATGGAAATCAGTCTAGTTAGCAGGTGAGCATACTTTTAAAAACGTTATTGATTCAGGCCATTGTGACGGGATAATCCATATAGCATTTCAAAAACAAAAAGTCTCAGCAGTGTACATTGTGTCAAACTGGGTGATATTCCGGCCAAGGTAGGTTTTGTCATGGTCTATTGTGGCATATACAAAACCAATGAGAAGCCTGCTTGAATCCGGGTGCCCTTTGAAACCCTCGGTGCTGCAAGGCTGAGCTGGAGCACAGAGGCCTCGGGAAAAGCCTGCTAGAAACTGGCCCAGGTGCGCTGCCAGTAACACTCCACTAGTCCTGTGGCGAGCAAAGGCTCTGAAGGTCTCAGTCCTTAGTAGATGGACATGCTATCAATTGGCATGAATGAGAAAAACAGACTCATCTCATCAGCACCCCCTTGCATTCTGGTGCACAGGAAGGTGAAGCAGAAGCCTCATCAATCTCTGTTTAATGAAATATGTTCTATACCTTTTCTTGGAGAAGATGGAGGTAAAAGGTGTAACATAGAACAAAACATTTCCTTAAAGTTTTGTCCTGAGAAGGGAAGGGGACCTATTAATTATGCAAAGCAGCAATTTTATAGGCAAAACCAAATTTTTTAGTTCACAAATAAGAACAGCCTAGGTCAGAGAGCATAAGCCATACAAAATGAAACATTAGGGTTCAGAATCTCTTCACAAAGCACATGACTAACCACAGAAATGCGTGTCCTAGACGGGCACGTTCTCCCCAGGAAGAACACCGTCTTCCCCCGGTGGCTTCCCCCCGATTTCATGCATGTAGCTTGGGGTGCAAAATTCCCCACAGAGGCTTGAGCCTTTTCCTTCTAAAATTCAGTGCTCTTTCTGAACAATTTTCTTCCACTGCTTCTAAGTTCTGTAACCTTTTCCATAAACACACATCATACTATTTGCCTCACCAGGCCAGGAACTCTGGCTCCTAAGCCTGAATTTTCAGGTCTCTCATAGAGGTGCTGCTAGGGCAGGCAATACTGGTACCTATGCAGTCATTCTTGGAAGTCTGGACAGAGGCCACCGCCACAAAGAGACTTCCTTCAGCTGTCTTTCCAAATGGCCTGAAAACAGCACCCAGCCCACAGCCTGCGTGTGAGGCAAAACAGAAGGTTTTCAGTGAAGGCCCCTTAAGGGGAAGGATATTCATCTTGATACTCAAGGATTTGGGTCTCTGTCCAAACGAAAATCCTCCACGGCTCAGTACTCAGGTCTGTTAGGAGGAAAAGTCTTGAAAGTTGACAGTTTTAGAAACGAAGGAAGAGAGCAGAAAACTAACTGGTTCAGCTGCATCAGCAAAGTTAGGAAGTCTGCCCTTATCACTGTTCAATGGAGAGGGACAGAATTCTTTCTGTAAAAAGAACATTTTAATCACAATTTTCCTTTATTCATTTCAGATATGCACACACTAAATGGGGATAAGTGCACCCTACTTCACAAGACGTACGTGTTCTAGATATAAATAAGCAGTGGCTCAGCATTCTAGCCAATTCCAATCCTACAACAATAATTTAATTTTCTTCAAATATCAGTTCTTCACAGTTTCAATACTGCAGCAGCAAATTATTCCTTAGATAAAGAAAGTTGTGGTCCCTATTTTAAAACACCTTAGGAGAACTAGAGGTAAGTTAGCAAACTACAGATGACCTTTGTCCCCTGGGTCCTACATGCAGTTTGGGTAGGGCAGTTTTACCACAAATCCCAAAGACTGGCAGTGGGACCCAGGGGACAAAGGTCACCTGTAAGAATGACTGAAAACTACTGCAGCTTTTTTCACACCCACCCGTTGGGGAATTCTTCATATAAAACACAGGTGAACTTTGCAGTACTTGCATTCTGTTCATTGGTCCCTGTCACGCATGGGTGTGACCCCCCCAACCCCGCCCCCCCCAGAAAAAAACCCAGCTGGTACTTCGTAGAGGAGCTTTTCATAGCAAGTCAGGCAGGATGAGGCCAGGAGGTTTGGGTTCAACACAGTTGATCCAGAAGTTGGCACAGCTGGCGTGATACTGGTGTCCTCCGTACGCCAGCTTGAAGCTGTCTGTCTCCGAGTTGAACGCCTGCCGGGGACAGACAGACACGTGGAGCACGTCAGGCCTCTGCACCTCGGAGCCGCACGTTCACTTCTCCGGGTCACAGAGGCCAAGGCCAAACTGGCACACACACAAAAGCTAAGCAGGTAGCGATTGAAATCAGGTCAGAAAGTGTTTCACTGCTAACTAAAGGTATAAAAAAATCTTTACCATTAAACCCAATTTCAGCAAAAGGCAGCCAGGTTTTTCATGGGAAAGGCAGAGTCTGGGGGCGGGTAGGATGGTGTCATGAGAAGGGCAAGTAACCCAGCCCAAGGCCGTGGTTAATTTTTATCTCTCGTTGTGAAGAAGGAAGCCTTTCCCGGAAGGTAGCATTTGACTGTAACATGTAATCCCTTAAATTTGGTGGCTAATTACAGCACTATCATGAAAGAAAATGTAAAATTATAAACTCTTAGGGTCCAATGCCATTGGGAGCTGATAACTGAATCAACATAATTTAAAAGTCCAAATAGGTACAGGTTTGTTAAAAAAAAAAAAAGATATTAAACACAGGAGAATAATTTCCAGGTGAATAATGCTTATAGGTGAGTTACAGCCAGCCACTCCTAACCGCAACCACGTCCTGGGGACTATTTATAGTGCTTTTTAAAGCATTACAAATAAATAAATAAATAAATAAATAAAACGAAACTCTAAAACCCAAACAATTTGTTTTTTGTCTGATAATGGCCAAATCCTGAAGCTCTTTAATCTCACTGTGTCATTGTAATTTCCCATCTTCCAGAAGTTGCTCATTCTGTTGCTCTGCTCGTCACAACACCAGAAGCCAATTATGAGACACAAGCATGCAAACAAGACAGAAGTGGATCCACACAGACAGTTAGTTGACTAAATCAAACATGGGAACAAAGATGACTCAGTAAAGCATCCATGACTGGAACAGTTCGGGATGCCGTGGAATCATCTGATTTGCCTTCCACACTCAAAATTAAGATGGAGACACTAAGATAATGTGTAACTGGTTCATACTTTTTTAGGATGTTCCTCTGCAGGCTTCTCTTCTTTCTGAAATAACGTTGAAACCATAAGGTCAACAAAACATCCAGAACAGAGCCTCTTGCCTGCAAACGACTCCTTTTCTCATTACCACCCTACCGGGTGCGGCAGGCACAATGCAAACCCCACGCTTCCCCTCAACAGCTTCCCCCACTGCCCTTTTGAAACGGTATGTCTATTTCTGTGGTCAGATTTCAGGACTTCATAAAATCCCCACCACCTCTAGGCACAGACCTTGCAGCGAAGTGATCTAAATGGGGTTGTCCCCCAGGCCACGTTTAGAATGCACTTTGCCATCTGCAGGGGAAAGGCGTGTGACTTACCCGGCTCCTGGAGTCCACGTTTAACAGGCACACCCCACAAGCAAGTTCCTGAGCATTTTTAATACCAGGCCGCAGCATACAAGAGGAAAAATCCAGTGAATTTTCATCGGGCTGTGAAAATGAGATAAACAGATAAGAACCTGGTAATCCCAAATGCTTTTGGCTTCATTCCCTGATCACTCTTCCCCAGTAGGTCCAATAGCAAATTAAGTAAACTCTCTTACACCATCAGTACAATTCAATTTCCCCAATGTTTAGTGAGTATCTGCGTGTTCTGAGCACTAGGGATGCTAGCATGAGCAAAAAAACAGTGCCTGTCCTCTGAGAACTCAGTCTAGGGTAGGAGCCTAGGGCAGAACTCAGGGAGCACAGTGTGATGAAAGCCATACTAGGGGTAAGTACCGAGTGTCAGAGCCCCCGTGTGTGGGGGCTGAGGGGTGGCTTACCTCAACCCCAGGGGAAAGGAACCTGATGGCAGCAAATGCTTCCTAAAACTTAGATACAACTTGGAGGAGTCCTGATGGGTATATGCGAGGTGAAGGGGATGGGAAGGATGAGTTAGGGGAGGGAAGGACACTTATTCTATGTAGAACAAGCAGCCTGGGGAAAGGATCTAAGCAAAAGATTGGGTATGGGAAGAAGTCTTGGGGGAGGGAACCACACTTATGAAAAGGGTAAGGGATGGAACTGGAGCATGAGGCCTTGAAAGGCACATACGGTGGTGAGGCTTTATCCTGGGAAGCCGTAAGGGTCCTAACTGGATCATGGCAGAAGCCAGTGTGTATTATGGACAGATCCCTCTGGCTGCAGTACAGGCAGTGAATTGGAAAAGGTAATCTTTAAGGTATGGGCCTCAGTTACAAGGCTGTTGTAGTCCGGGATACAGACACTGAAAGTCTGAAGTAAGGTAGCAACAGTGGGGAATGGAGAGAAATGGACATATGAGAGCTAGGAAGGCAGTAGAGTTAACAGGTCTGGGTGATCAGGCGATCTATTTTTATGCCAGGAGGGGAGAGGTCTTGGGCAACTGAGGGGATTCACCATAATAAGGCACAGGAGAGCAGAACCAGGTTTGGGGATGGGGGATGGGGAGAAGAGCTCGGTTTGGTCCAGGCTAGTGGAGCTGCCTATGGCACAGCCAAGTCCTGATGTTGCATAAGCAGGCAGCGGGAGATACAGTCCTACTGCTCGAGAATGCGAGATCCGGAAGTCATCGCCTAGAGACAGTAACTCTAACAACGGCTAGTAAGTCAAGCTCTTACTTGTGCCAAGTACCACACTAAACTCTTTACATGCATTATCTACTTTATTCTTTAGAACAAATCTATGAAATATGGAGAGTGTAGCTCCATGAGTAAAGGGGCAGGTTCCAACTTTGGGAAGCTGTTTCTTGAAAGTTAAAATATACATTTACTATACAAACTTGCAATTCCACTCATAGACATTTATCCGAGAGAAATGAGAACATATGTTAACAAACGTCTTGCACAAGAGGTGTTCATAGCAACTCCATTCTTATTAGCCAAACGGGAAATAGTGTCTGTCTACACAGAGAAAATGGATTTTAAAAAACCATGGATATTTTCAGTGGATTGCACACAGGCCTGTGAAGCAAAGGGTTGCTGGTTCGATTCCCAGACAGGGTGCATGCCTGGGCTGCAGACTCGGTCCCCCATAGGGAGTGTGCAAGAGGCAACCACACGTTGAGTTTCTGTCCCTCCCTTTCTCCTTCCCTTCCCCTCTCTCTAAAAAATAAAATCTTAAAAAAGACATGGATATTAATACAGTGGAATATTAGCGGCAAAAGAGATCAAGCTGACACATAAAATGACATAGATGAATTTTTAAAACACACTATGCAGAAGAAGCCAGATGGGCACAGAACATTATATACATTACATAATTTCATTTACATACAGTTCTAGAACAGGCACATCCATGGTGCTGGAAATCTAGGGAAAACAGATCACTGGGTGTTTTGGAATCGGATCAGGGGACTGAGTGGAAAGTGACAACATGGAACTTTAGAGTTGATGAAAATACTCCGTGTGTTTGGGGTGTGGACTACATGACTATATGCATTTGTCAAAGCTCATCTAACTATACATTTAAGATCTGTGCATTTCATTGTGTGTAAATTATTCCTCAATTAAGAAAAACACTTGAAGCCCTGGCTGGCGTAGCTCAGTGGATTGAGCGCGGGCTGGGAACCAAAGTGTCCCAGGTTCGATTCCCAGCCAGGGTACATTCCTGGGTTGCAGGCCAGAACCCCCAGCAACCACACATTGATGTTTCTCTCTCTCTATCTCCCTCCCTTCCCTGTCTAAAGATAAATAAATAAAATCTTAAAAAAAAACACTTGAAAAGTAGAACAAGCAAACAAAAAACACCACTGAGGCAAAAAAAAAAAAAAATGATTCAGAAGAGTTGGATTCTCAATGTGAAGTTTTAGATACACCTAAACTAGTTTATTTTGCTTATATGTGCCCTAGAGCAGGGTTCTCAAACTTGCCAACACTGACATTTTAACTCGGGTAACTGTTGTAGGGTCTGCCCTCTGTGCTGTAGGATGTAGAGCAGGATCCCTGGCTGATTTGGGGGCAAAATAGTCCCCCCTCTCTCACCATTAAGCCCTGGCCAGTGTGGCTCAGTTGGCTGGACCTAGTCCCATAAACCAAAAAGGTTGTGGGTTCGAGTCCTGGCTGGGGCCTGTATGAGAAGGCCACCAATGTTTCTCTCTCTCAGCAATGAAGAAAATGTCCTCAGGTGAGGATAAAAGAAAAAAAAAGAACTGACTTTCCAAAGTGGAAAAAGTATAATGCACACAAGCTTGTTTATTATAAATGTCACTGATATGAAGGACATGTGGTACACAATTTACTAGTAATAAAATATATAATCATCTTTATTGCAAGTACAATAGCCACTTGATTTGCACAGAAGGCTTTGAGAATTTCTGCCCAACTCCTGGATCCATAATCAACCTACGCTCACACTTTCACGAAAGAGCAGAGTTCTGATGTGAATTTTCGTTGATGTTTTCTTGTCAAGGACTAGGATTAAAGTGAAACAGCAGAGACATATTTCAGAATTTCACTCATCTGTCAAATTTGTGCTCTTTGCTGAATCAGATAATATGGGGTTGGCTAAAAAGTTCATTGATTTTTTTCCGTACAATGGCTCTAGTAGTGCTTAGTTGTCTTTAACTTCATTTGAAACAATTTTGTTTGATTCTATTGTGACAACTGTCATATCCGCATGAATAAAAAAATTGGTGAATTTTTGGTGCAACCATTTTAATTTTGAAGATTAAGAAAATATGCATTTCTGGCGTAATATGCTTTATTATTTCAAGAAAGGTAAAAATGCAACTGAAACACACAAAAAAGATTTGTGCAGTGTATGGAAAAGGTGCTGTGACTGATCAAATATGTCAAAAGTGGTTTGGGAAGTTTCTTGTACTAGTGACATTTTGGCTAAATAATTTTTGCTGTGGGGCTGTCTTACACATTGGAAGATGTTTAGCAGCACCCTTGGCCTCTGCCCACTAGAAGCCAAGAGTCAGAGATAGCCAACATACTCAAAATGTTCAAATCAATAAAGTTATTGGTGAAAATGAAAAATGTATCATTTATTTTACAGAAAAAACTAAACAGACTTTTTGGCCAACCGAAAAATTCTCGAATACTGGAGAATGCTTCCTCAACTCTGTTCTAGTCACAGTGTGATGGCTCCAGACACACACACTTCTAAGTTTAATCTGCAATCCTAACACTTTCTCTATAACCTTCTTCAGTCTAGACAATCAACAAACAATAAATCAAGCCCTCGTTTGTAGCATTTGAGATTTCCATGGTATAAATACTCCCACCGTGGTTGATTTCAAGCTACCAGTGTGACGTCACTGAACATGGAGTTGAGAGGAGATGCCTGAGACGCCATCAGATGGAACTTCCACAGATGGCTGCAATAGACCGGGATGACCAATAGGCTGGCTTGTGCAAGACTGTTCTAGTTCCAGCTCTGAGGAAACCCTCGGTCCTGAGCAAACCAAGGTAGTGGCTCGTCCTAGGACAGACATAAATGACCTCAAAAGCCAAGGACTGGGCAGATGGCAAAGAAAGTCAAGATTGAAGGGAGTTGATAGGAACCAAGTAAAAGGGTCAAAACGACTGTCCTGTCTTGAGAAGCAAAAACGAGAGCAGTGTAAGTCAAGGGTGAGAAGGTTGGACGGCCACCAGTGTGGGCCCAGAGAGATGCCTGACAGGTGCTGCGGTGCGGTCCTGCGAACAGTGGCTGGAGGGAGGTGGACACCAGGGTGCCGCAGTGCAGTGGTCAAGGATCTGGGAGCCTGGCATGCTGGCTGGCTGTGTTGTCATCATGGATACCGAGGTGACCCAGGATGGCGGAAAATCCCTGCCAAAATAATAGCTACCTACGTTTTCTATAGTTATTTAAGGCTGAATCACTGAGGAGTTACTACAATGTTTTTATGTTTGCAAAACTATATTATTCTTCCCCAGAAAAAAAGGCTCCTGCCTAGAAAAATGTGTAGCTTATATACGATGCTTCCCCATCCCTTACTAATTTGAAACAGTAAACCATGGACTAGCTCTACAAACCTTTCTCAAACTAACCTGAGCTGAATCCACTCAACTCACACCTGAGGAAAGGAGGGCAGTCCTCGAAGAAGAGGGGGCGGGGGATGTCTCAACTGTGGGCCTGAGCACGCTGACCTCGGTGACTGCCGGAAAACTCCACGGCCTTAACTGACCCAGAGGATGATTTCCCCTTTTTAGCACAGTCGTGGCCACTTTTGTCAAATCTAGAAGTAGGTGGTATTATCATTTGTTTGCTGTCCGATGCTGTCACCTGTAAAATGGTTACATTTCATTTGCCACCCCCCACCCGCCGCCCCAGCTGGTGCCGGCGCCTCAGAGATGTAAGAAAGTGCTCTGGGAAAGGACAAAATACTCTGAGTGACTATCACAGCTGGTCACACTGACAAATGAAACTAACAAGTTTTCTGAAGAAAAACACAGCAGCATCTGAATCTTAAAATTAATCAAATTAACAAAAGCCCTTTAACATCTGTTTACCAAAGGGATAAG